ACTATTCTCTACACTCAGCCAGTGAAGCTAGTTCAGTGTTTAACAGAAGTCCAGCGGAGAACCAGAGAACTTTAGAATGATGGAACAAAGACAGCTGGTCTGGGGGGTTTCCATGGTGACAGCCTTGATCTCTGAGGCAGAACTTTGAAAACAAACACGAGGAAGCTCCACCGATGAGCAACACGTGTCCTAAAAACATCGTTACTAAACAATAATGGTTTAAAAATGTGACTGCAGCTAAAAAATACAAACATAGAAAGAAAACACAACCGACTGATTATCATGAAGAAACATCCAGAATGACCAAAATATGGCAGAAATAAAACGACTAAAACAAGCCAAAAACATTTCTGTGGCGTTATGGTGAAACGCTAATAAAACATCAAAACAAACTGTATGAAATATGTGTTAAACTGTGTCCTGCTGAAATAAAATCTCTTTAAGTTAAAATGACTTATTGATTACTGATTAAAAATCCAAATACTTTATAATATTAAATACAAATAAATAGTCATATCAGACTGTTCTGAAGATGTTGTTAAAATCAGTCACTTGTTCAGTAAAAATCTACAACACTAGGATTAAAATATCTCAGGAAAAATATAAAATCTACCTTCAAACCTTTTGCATGCTCCAGTTTGATTAAAGTCATCAGAGAACTACAGGAAACATGTCTGGCTGCAGGAGTCTCTGCACCAAAGTCCTTTTAAAAACACCAGGTTTTTAGAGCAGCTTCGCTCAGTGTCACAAAGCGCTGATCTGATGTTTCAGAATTCTTGAGGGTTCTTTGTTTTTTTGTTTTTTAATGTTTTTGAGTTTTAGCCTAAATACAACAAAACCAGCGCCTCTCATAAATTCAGTTTAACGTTCGACACTGAGCCAGGTTTCCCTTCAGTCAGCAGCTGAATCAGCTGGACCTTAAAGATCAGATTTCTGCTGTTTATTTTCTAGTTGGTGGGCTATTTGTGCGCCGAACTTTCCAGAAGACATTTCTGATTCACACGGAGTTTATTCTGATGTTCTTCTGGCTTGTGTGCTTAAGTTCAAACGGTCAAACCTTAAATATGAACATTTCTCAACGGGGTTCCTGCTGGGGGAGCAGTTTTAGCTCATTCGTCTCCCTTCTCTCCTCAGAGACAGGACGCAGACTTGACTGATCCTCCAGTTCGGGGTTTATTTGGACTGTGTTCCCCACAGTGATGCTAACTGGAAGCTAAAGCTGCTGTCAGGCTCCAGACCTACCGATCTGATGTAGCCGCTGGAGCCAGCTAAGCGGCTAACTCGCTGCTAGCCTGCCCGCCTGCCAGCCGGCTCGCCGGGGAACTGAGCTAGCTGCTGGCCGCCTTGCTGCGGTGGAATGTCGGTGAGGTGTCCGGTCGGCTCATGTGGCGGTGGAGAGGCGCTGCCCAGCTGCTCAAAGCGAAACACTGCGTCAAAAAGCCGCCAGCTGGAGCCGCCGGTCCGAGAAAGAGCTGCTTTCCTCCAAAACACCAGCAGCGCGGTGACGACATCGCTGCGTCACAGGCGTGAGCACGTAACCTGCGTCATGACGTCACCGACAATACGGCGTTTGTTTGCTTTAATAAAAATCGAATATTTAGACATCACGCTCTTTAAAAAATACGAATTTTAGGGGTTTTGTACTTTGTTTCACATCTTATATCACAACTCAAACGTTTAACTTAATAAATGTTCAATGAAAAAGTTGAATTAAGGAGTCAACTCCTAATGACGCTTCATTACATTTTATAAAGACATCTTCATTATGTTCTGTTTCATATGACAGGATAAACCCTTGATGACAAGTACAAGGACATCTCTGTTTATTATTAGGTTGCTCTGGACAAAGCTTGATTTCTTTAAATGAAGTTTTTGTCACATCAGTCTGTTACCTGGTGTTACGGTGAAACTCTTCCCCCAGAGAGTTGTCTGAGAACATTCCAACCACCAGCAGTCCATCATGACAACCACACATTTTAAATCTGTCAAAGCTTTATTTTCTTCATCCATCCATCATCTCTACACCTTAACCCTCACTAGGGGGGCGGAGCCTATCCCAGCTGACTCAGGGTGAAGGCAGGTTCACCTGGACAGGTAACCAGTCTATCACAGGGCTACACTTAGAGACAGACAACCAAGCACACTCACATTCACACCACCGAGCCACCTGCAGCCCTGATTGTCTTGATGAAGATGAAAACAGACATTTCCGGGCTTCTTAGTCTCGTCCTTGTAGATCCAGTGGACTCCTGACGGTTCTGTGGACCTGCTGGTCCACCTGAGACCAGACAGCAGGTCAACAGGTCGTTCTCACTCGCAGTGGCGTCCAGTCCTCAGCTTTGGACCGTTTTGAACTGTTTCTGACACGTGAAGGTGGTTCTAGTCTTTCGAGTCATTTCAAGTCTTCTGGTCGTTCTGGACCAATGACACGTCAGCAGCAGACGACCTTTCAGAATAAAAGCCCTGCATGTCTCCTATAAAATGTCGGTTCTGTTCTGGGTTGGTCAGTTCTGTTCTGGTTCCGTTGTCTCGTTGCTGTGTGGATCCTTACTGCTGTCCTCCGGACCACAGCTCTGGGTCGGTTCCTGCCCCGCGCCCAGTGCTTTCTGCCCCTCCACCTCCTTGTAGTAGCCCTCTCGGTGCAGCTGTCGACGGACCGTCCGGGTCGACACGGTCTGGTTCCGCCCTGCGTTGAGGTTCTGGGTCACCTGAGCGAGCGTGGCGCTGCGGTTCTTCTTGACGAACTGCACCAGAGCGCGAGCGTCGCGGTCGTCCAGCGTCCGCTGCCGGCCGCAGTTCCCGACCCGGCTGACCGACGTCTTCCCCGTGGCCCGGAACGCCGACGTCACCTTGGCGACGGTTCCTATGGAGACGCTGGCCAGCTGGGCCGTCCTGGTGACCGACGCTCCGGCCATCCGGGCCCCGACAATGAAGCCTCGCTCAAAGTCGCTCAGATCCTTGCCCCTCACCATCTGGACTCCAGACCAGAACCGACCGGGACCAGAACCTGCAACGAGACACACATCAGCTGTTTTACAACAGTTTAGTCATTTGGGACACATTTAGAGAATTCTGGATACATGTGGAGTCCGTCTGGACCCGTCAGCAGAACCAGATGACACCAAACCGTCCAGCTCTGTGTGGTCAAACTGCTCATCATACCGGGTCAGGACAGCCATGACACAGCAGACAGGAGACAAACGGGTCGGTCCTGGTTCTGTCAGTCCTGGTCCAGTTGGTCCTGGTTCACTTGGTCCTGGACCAGTCGGTCCTGGTTCTGTCAGTCCTGGTCCAGTCAGTCCTGATTCAGTCGGTCCTGGTTCTGTCAGTCCTGGTCCAGTCGGAGCTCCTGGGGTCCTACCACCTGTCCTGCAGGTCCAAAACCTCACAGACCTGAACCGGTCCAGCTGGGCTCAACCTGCTGACTTGCAGCTGGAAGGAACCAAGTCATCAGGTCTGTGTTCAGGTCAGAACCACAACGTCTAGTCTGAAAGGTTCGGGTCAGAACCACAACGTCTAGTCTGAAAGGCTCGGGTCAGAACCACAACGTCTAGTCTGAAAGGTTCTGAGAAACGTTCAGGACACAGTCAGTGGTCAGAAACAGAAAATAAAACAAAACACACCGGATGCTGAACACCGAACTCACCGGTGGTCCTCCTCAAACGCTCCTCCGGCTCCTCTCTCTCTCCTCCGGCTCCTCTCTCTCTCTCCTCTCTCTCTCTCCTCTCCCGGCTCCTCTCTCTCTCCTCTCCCGGCTCCTCTCTCTCTCCTCCCGGCTCCTCTCTCTCTCCTCCC